TACCACGTCCACCGCCGCCCCTCTGTCCAAGTATACCATGTCCACAGCCACCACTCTGTTCAAGGTTTTGTTCACCTCCTTATAAAAAAAAATCAGATTTGTTTGATAACTTCTGTCTTTCATGAATCCATGCTGTCTGTTGTTCCCTTCCCTCTCCTGCTACCTATACTGCCTACCCTGTATTAAAAAAAGAGATCTGTATACTTAATTTTAGTCCACTACAGCCTAGTCATGCGATCCTGCTGATCCAAGCTCCCTTGTGCAAGGTGAGCAGCAGCTGCAGGGGAGAGCTGAAAACTGCAGAAGGGAGAGGAGGAGATAAGGCTTCCAGCTGCTTCACTGACAGCCATACAGTGAGATCACCTCTTGTCACTGCCCCCACCACTGCACAGATCATCCCCGATCATTAATTTTCTTTGTGTGGCCCCTCGCTGTGTGTGCTTCTCAGTGCCCAGCCCCCCCCATCCTCTGTATCAATAGGAGAAGAGGGGAGAGAGGCTGGATGTGCTCTGCCTCCCCCTGTGCCCGCCCACACTCCAGTCCATGCAGCTTCAGAGGGATGATGTGTGGGTGGGAAATTGAACACAGAGCAGCCGACAGCTCTGACTGAGCATTTGAGTCCAACCGACCTCCCTTCCTTCCCCCCCTCCCCGGCCCCCTCCCACCCCTCCTTCCTTCCTTCCACCCCTCCTTAACCCCTCCTTCCACCCACCCCACTCCTTCCTCCCCCCCATCCCTCCCCTCCCACCTACCCCTCACTCCCACCTACCCCTCCCACTCCTTCCCACCTAACCCCTTCCGTCCCTCCCTTCCACCTTCAACCCTTTCCCCTCCCCCCCACCCCAATCCCCCCCCCTTCCTTCCTTCCCCCCTTTCTTCCACCCACCCCCCCCTTTCTTCACCCCCCCCCCCCCCCCTTCTTCCCCCACCCCCCTCCCTTTCTTCCAACCCCCCCCTCCCTTTCTTCACTCACCCCCCCCCCCTTTCTCCCTCCCCCCCCCCACCGTTCCCACTCACCCCCCCCCTCCCTTCCTCCCTCCCACCCTTCCTTTCTCCCCTCCCTCTCTCCCACCCTTCCTCCCTCCCTCTCTCCCATCCTTCCTTCCTTTCTCCCCTCCCCTCTCTTTCCTCCCCTCCCTTCTCCCTCCCACCCTTCCTTTCTCCCCTCCCTCTCCCCCACCCTTCCTTTCTCCCCTCCCTCTCTCCCACCCTTCCTTTCTCCCCCTCCCTCTCTCCCACCCTTCCTTTCTCCCCTCCCTCTCTCCCACCCTTCCTTTCTCCCCTCCCTCTCTCCCACCCTTCCTCTCTCCCACCCTTCCTTTCTCCCACCCATCCTTTCTCCCCTCCCTTCCTTTCTCCCCTCCCTTCCTTTCTCCCCTCCCTTCCTTTCTCCCCTCCCTTCCTTTCTCCCCTCCCTTCCCCATTCTTTTCCCCTCCCTTCCTCCCTCCCCACCCTCCCTTTCTCCCCTCCCTCCCTTTCTCCCCTCCCCCTCTTCCTCCCACCCTTCCTTTCTCCCCCCCTCCCTTCCTTTCTCCCCCCCCACCCTTCCTCCCACCCTTCCTTTCTCCCCTCCCACCCTTCCTCCCACCCTTCCTTTCTCCTGCCTCCCACCCTTCCTTTCTCCCCTCCCACCCTTCCTTTCTCCCCTCCCACCCTTCCTTTCTCCCCTCCCACCCTTCCTCCCACCCTTCCTTTCTCCCCTCCACCCTTCCTCCCACCCTTCCTTTCTCCCCTCCCACCCTTCCTCCCACCCTTCCTTCCTTTCTTCCCTCTCACCCTTCCTTCCTTTCTCCCCTCCCACCCATGTTTAGGGGTGGAATTAAAGGTGGGGTAGGGGTTGGGTGGGGTAAACTGGTGAAATTGAAATTTTGAGCCGTGTGTATATATATTGCTGTGGAAATTTTTTGTGCTTTGTAATTAGATGATAGGATTATTTATATAAGTGCAAATCATTTATAAACTTCATGACAGACAGTCGCCGTCACTCTGCCACTGTTATTAGATAGGTAAAGATTGCTGTCAGAACTGGATGAGCAGAGGGCGTTATTGATTACAACACAACATTATATATACGGAAGTCATTATGGAGATGCACTTGGATAACTGGTAGTTTGGGATTGGATAAGGAAGAGGTGGCTTTGCCAGGTGGAATGTAAATGAATCATAGCCTGTGCCAACTCTGCCATTGACTGCATCCTTTGACTCATTCACTCATCCTGACTCATCTTCTGTCCTAGTTTCCAGATTCAGAGTTGCCCTTTCACCCACAATCTACAGCTTGGCATTTTTATGCTCTGATCTATGATCCAACTGTGTGTGTTACAAAAATATTCGTCATATAAACAAATAAGTTGGGGAAGTGGAAAACTCCAAGTATCTTAATACCCATTAAATGTATTGTAACTGTACTTAATTAAGAGGAGCCTTGAAACTACGTACTTGTTATGTTGTTTTTGTAGTAATAGAAGCACAGGTTTCACCTGTAATAGATTTCTTGCATATTCTCAGTTGAGTTGTCTCTTCTTCAACATGTCTTTCTGCTGCTGCATACTTGTTTTTTCCATTGCTTGAAGGTCTAAGTTGGCAGTCCAAATGGTGGCTAGAGTCACCATACCTTAGGAGTAGACAGCCATAGAGTGGTGGAAATGTACTATTAAGTATACTAAAAGCAAAATAAGATTTTTTTTTTGTGGGTTTGTGAGCTGATTAGTAGGGGTCTCCTTGTTTGGAACATCCTGTGAGCTCTTTGAACAGCACGGTTGATCGGGTCACTGCTCAGATTGCTATTGCACTTTTTCACTTTGACAGGGACAGATTTATAGTATTGATTTGGTTTTCAATGCTGAAGCAACTGCTGAAAATGACCAATTCAGGAGAGTGATAGCATGGCAGTGCTTCTAAAACATTTGATTAGAAAGACCTCTGCTAAAGTGAGCAGTTCTTCCACTTTCTGCCTGCTTAAGGCAGTGGTGGGCCATCAGTGTCAGTAAGGCCTTCTCTGATGACCTTAACACTGCCTAAGCTATCAGAATCACTGACTTGTGTTTTAATATATTTTTTCCATGAATATGTTCTTCCCAAAAGTCTATTCTCCTCATTTCATAGCTTTTCTCTTGGTTCGGCTGCTTCCAGTAGTGAATCTTTGTTAGAGATGATCATATTTCAGCCAAGATAGCCATCATGTGTTGCCGGGGGTCAAATAAATCTGCCTTGAGGCCTTCAGAATCAACAGGGCAGGCCCCTATAGCTTACAGTAAATGGCAATTAAACTGTAGCTTTAACCAAAAATATTTTGAATTGGTGACATCGGGGCCATCTAGTAGGTGTTACTATGCTGAATTTTTAAGGTTACATCCAAATATTGCTGGATTAATGCAGGTAGGACATCACTGAAGGCCTTGGTGTGAAATGTACGGCCTACTACTGAGTTAAGGTATAATTAAACCCCCAGACAAAAAGCTCTTGCCTAAGCTTTTATGTTGTTCAAATGACAACTTTTTGTTTTATCAATGTTTAAACTTACCTTTTCATTCCTTGAAGTCCATGTGTCTCTTCTCCTGGTGGCTTCCTGTTCAATAACCCACAATGTTACTTATTTAGGGCAAGCACCTCTTTAAACATGGCCATTCAGCAGGTTAAAATTCTATAAAAATATGTACTTAATACATACAAAAGACTCAACTTGGTAGCATTGCATATGGAAAAAAAACTCTCGCCAATGTTCTCCTATTAATACAGGTCTTCCCATGTCAATGGATGTTTGCGAGCTTGGATTTAAAGTGGCCCTTTTTAATCTGAACTGAAGAAAGTTTGTTTTGACCAGTTGGTTTAATTTTTTAGTTATTTGATTTATTACACAACTTATGGAAAAGAACAAACAAGGGTGCACTCTCATCGTGCATTACCGTGGTATAACACGTATTTTATTAAATGAAAAGAGGATATATACTCACAAACCAACGTGATAAAAGGCAGTAAAAGTGGTCCACAAGAACAGTCACAATACATCTGTGTCTAATGGTGCAGATAGGCCAACGCGTTTCGGGAGCTAAACCCCCTTCCTCAGAGCTTTACTATGCTAAAAAAATGTGCATGGATTTTTTTTTTTTTTGAGACACTGAACAGGCACATTGAAAAAACATTTTTTTCCCCTGCAGGTATGTTATCTCGCTTAGTAGTGGGGCTGTATATAACAACCTAGCATCAAAATGCAAAGTTTGCTTTTTTTGTAGCCCCCCTGCAAATATTCCATGTATTCATACATTGTAAGTGTGTCAAGTGGTACCCAGCATTTGGTGCACCTAAAACTCCATCAAGCCTGACAATGTAACACAGATGAGTGTGCAAAGAAGGGATTGCTTTGAAATGTGCTTGTAGGCAGGTACAGGTGTTCCTCCAACTTGTAGGTGACACTGTGCTAGTATAGGTGGAGACGAGTTTAAAGGAGTTGTCTTTTTATGGACTCCCATCGGTCTTCCCAGGGAGGACAGTTGTCAGATTGGATTCTGAAATCCCTCGATGATCTAAGGCAGTCATCTTTTGACTAGGGTATCCACATCATTTGGGCTCACTTGAAGCAAGTGGAAATTCAGAAACAGATACCCGCTGGTTAGGGAAAGAAAATTGCTATAGGTAAAGATTCTTGGCTAATAGGGAAAGCCAAGGACGGACTCTTTAAGTATGGGGCCCTGCCTGATGTCTGGAATAGGAGTATGAGGTCTCCTTAATTAGTGGAATTAGTGCAGCCCTGATGTAACATATACCACTACCCAAGGGTGGACTGATCATTCAGGCACTCGGGCACTGCCCGAGGGCCCGGGGTCAGTACGGGGCCCCATGAGATGACCCTGGTATCTTTCATAGGCTTTTTTGGGTGTGGTCTGAGTGTAGGTGAGGACACAGGGGCCCCATGATCCTCTATTGCCTGGGGGCCCCATGAGCTGTCAGTCCACTCCTGCCACCACCCCTTCAGCAAAAGCCGTCCTCCGGTAATGCAGACTAAAGCACAGATAATATGATATCACAATTTCTGGATTGCTTTAAACTGGTACCCATAGAACTGTTTGGTAGAAACCTGTACAGATTAAAAGAATATAATTCAGTGCACTAAAGACTGTGTGTTTTTACTCCCTGTCTGTGTACCTTTCATGACCATGGCCTCTAGTTTCTGGGCACATTTGATGCTGTGGTGTCATTCACTTGGATTCATCCTGCTGAGGTGAGTCTTTGAGGAACTGATCTCTGGAGCTGTGCCCAAAAAAGACAGACAGAAGGCAAAGGACAAGGCACCACTATTGCCTGTGGTTTGCCTACAGCTGATCTTTTCCCCTTTACTGACTTACCATACCTTGTTCTGTACTGAGTCTCTGGGTGGAGGCAGTGCTCTTGGTAAAGGCAGGGCTTTACTTCTTCATGTCAGAGCCTCCAGCCAGAAGCACACTAAAGTTGGTTATGCATGTTAATTTATTTTTTCTGTTCAACTGGCGGGTTGAAAGAAACAGTCACAGATCCCCGGATCAACACAAGCAATGACGATGCAGGGATGACAGTGGAGACTCACCCCAAACCCCACCACTATCACCACCATCATTGGCTGCAAGCACTGATCAAATGCTGGTTTTTCAACATGACCATTAAACAGAACTCAGTCTTGAGTCTGCACTTTCCAATCATAGAGAGGGGCTGGGCAGGAGACTTGTAAGTAAACCTCAAACATAGACAGGTTCTTCCTCATCTTCCTATCTTAATATGTCTGTGTTTCCAAAACCTTTTCTTGGTTTTCACCAGCAGACATGTTTTATAGTTATCCACACCAATAACTAAACCTCAATGTTCAGGCACAGATTACGCCACTATTGCATATGTAAGGTCTACACATAGCCTCTCAGCAGAAATTGTTCTATCATACTAAACCTAAATCACTCTTTTTAGGTGCTACAGTATGAGAAAACCAGACAATAAATTACTACTTGGCAGAGGTAAACCATTGCTGCTGTTGCTTATTGTTATTTGCCATGTACATGATCCCACTGGGAAAGATCATCCAACACCACAACTCAACCTCTTCTTCAATCCAACACTGGCGACCCTGTGGACCAAATCATCAGGTGTCTTATTGACATACAAGAGTGGAAGCACTGTAACTGGCTGAAATTGAACCCAGACAAGACAGAAGTGCATTTCCTGTATCCAGTAGCAACAGACAGACATGTCACTGGGAGGAAAATACTACAAACTGGTGGAAGAGATGTTGTCTAAAAGTAGCTGTGTCCAGAGTGCTTAGTGTTAACAGTGTGAGGAGTTTGACCACGGGTTACAACAGAGTTAACTGTGCAAGTTGCTGCCTGCTTCTGAGTTGAGAGACCTGCCTTGGTGTTAATTTCACATGAACACAGCTCCCTGTGGTTTCATTAGCATGTGCAGTTCCACAGTGTCCCCACTAGGGCAAATTCAGACCTGCCCACACTGTGACCATCAAGAAAAATATTGCTAAAAAAGCCTTTTATTGCACCATATTGGGAAGGAAGATGGGAATGATGTTGTATGACTATACAGTCTTATATATTTTTGAGCAATTGATGGGAAAAGGCTAAATATTCTTGTTTTCTTATTCAAATATATCACATTCAGCCTACATGCACATGGGCAGTTTGGCCAATCAGCGTCGAAATAGAGATTAAAGGATAAGTTCACCTTTTGACCAAAAATAATAAATGCACATTTTGCAAGCATTGCACCAGTGATCAGCAGATCGCTGGTGCCATGTAGGTCTCCTGCAGACCTGTCAGTATATCTGCACATCCGTATGGGATGTACAGGCAAGCAGATATACTGACAGGAAGATTCATTGAAATACCACGGCGCTGCACAGTGGGAGCAACGGGGGTGGTGGGCAGTGTCTGCAGCATTGGGAACATGTTCCACCCTAAAAAGGGGTGGAACATGTAACATGTTTCCAAAGGTGAACCTATCCTTTAAACTCCAGTTCTTTAACACAAGCTTGTCTGAAAAATTGGAGTTGTAAAGTTGGATTTTCCAAGAGACAAAAGAGAATGAAAATGACAACAGGCCTGATTTAACGAATGCAGGAAGTTCATTTGTAGAACTTCCTGCATTGTTAATTTGTAATGATTCAGAATGAATTATTCACTGATTCATGTGTATAGGAATGTAAGTAGCATAATTGCAAAAATGTAATGAGACACATACAGTATAATATTCTGATGGGTTTAATTGTACAACTATACATGTTCCTCTGTCTTTTTATACTACAACAACTACTTCCCCATAGAGCAGTGGTCTCCAAAATGCAGCCTGGGGCCAGATCAGGCCCTTTATTTGCCTTTATCTGGCCCTTGGGGCACTTTTCTTCCCACTGATGCAAGACACTATTTCTCCCACTGGCACAAAAAATGTGGTATATTTCCTTTTACTAACATCAATAATGGGGCACTATTCCTCCCATTAACACCAACAATGAAGTATAATTCCTGTTACAGACACAAACAATGAGGCACTATTCCTCCCACTGATACCAACAATGGGGCACTATTCCTCCCACTGATACCAACAATGGGGCACTATTCCTCCCACTGATACCAACAATGGGGCACTATTCCTCCCACTGATACCAATGATGGGGCACTATTCCTCCCACTGATACCAACAATGGGGCACTATTCCTCCCACTGATACCAATGATGGGGCACTATTCCTCCCACTGATACCAACATTGGGGCACTATTCCTCCCACTGATACCAACATTGGGGCACTATTCCTCCCACGGATACCAACAATTGGGCACTATTCCTCCCACTGATACCAACATTGGGGCACTATTCCTCCCACTGATACCAATGATGGGGCACTATTCCTCCCACTGATACCAACATTGGGGCACTATTCCTCCCACTGATACCAACATTGGGGCACTATTCCTCCCACTGATACCAACATTGGGGCACTATTCCTCCCACTGATACCAACATTGGGGCACTATTCCTCCCACTGATACCAATATTGGGGCACTATTCCTCCCACTGATACTAACAATGGGGCACTATTCCTCCCACTGATACCAATATTGGGGCACTATTCCTCCACTAACATCAACGATGGGGCACTATTCCTCCCCCAATGCCAAAGATACACTGTTTACTCCAACTGACACCAGAACAATTTCTACTTCCAATAGCCACAGTCTGGCCCCCCTAAAGTCTGAAGGACAGTAAACTGTCCCTTTGTTTAGAAAGATTATAGACCCCTGCTATAGAGCGTGAGTGTGTCTTGTCAGCATCCTGCATGGCACTCTGTTGGGACAGGAAAGGGGTCTGTGGTGTTTGGTTTTTCTAGAAAAGTTTATACAAGTCCTGGGAGTCAAGAACCCAGCTGGGAAGATAAGGGACAGGGGATGTAGACCTTGTGATGGCTCTTCTATTACAGGCTGAGCCAGGTCTTGGAAGCATTACTGTTCATAAGAGCAGAATGAGTGGTTGCCAGAGGCCCCAGACTCCAAGAGGAACATGGGGATGCTCAAACAATTTTCTGGAAGTCAGTGCTCTTTATAGTCCATTATTGCTTTGCACATTTTTAGGCTTTTTGCAGAACAAGGCCAGCAATGGTAGCTTTCCTATTCCTTTCAGTAAATATTTTACAATAATCATGCATACAATTTATACACATTCCCTTTACCTGGTAACCTTGCTCTTATATTATCTGCCACCATCAACTACGCCATTTGTAAAAAATAGATCCACAGCATAAAATTCAATTGGAGGAGAGAAAGGTGAATGTCCTTGCATGGCCTAATCAGAGCCCAGACTTAAACCCCATTGAAAATCTGTGGAATGACCTGAAGACTGCAGTCCACAAATGGTCACCATCAAATTGAACTGAACTTGAGCAGTTTCTACAAAGAAGAGCGGGCAAATATTGCAAAGTCTGGATGTGCAAAGTTCATAGACATCCCAACAGACTGAAGGCTGGAGTTAAAGCAAAAGGGGGTTCAACAAAATACTGACACAAGGGGGGATCCTTTTTCCAACTCAGTGATTCTGTTTTTTTAATTTTTAAAACATTTTTCTGACATGTTGGTGTTATATTCTTCACTTGAATGTTATAAGTTGCACTGTGTCTGTCTTCATTTCAGGCTACAAACATCAAAATGTGATTGTTTTTAAAAGGGGGGGATTATTTTATATACCCACTGTAAATTACCCACATGACAGCTTGGACTCCAGTACTAGTGGAAACCGTGCCACTCAGTGCAGGATGATGGACCATCTACCCTCTCAGAGGAAGGACCCCTGACATCATCAGAGCAGCCTGAAGACTACAGAAATAAAGGTAAGTATAATTTAAAGGATAAGTTCACCTTTTAGACAAAAATAATAAATACACATTTTTTTGCAGGTAAAAAAATGTGCATTTATTATTTTTGTCCAAAGGAGCCTGGAAAGCATTGCATATGTGATCAGTAGGTCGCTGATACCGTGCAGGTCTCCTGCAGACCTGTCAGAATATCTGCTTGTCATACGGGATGTACGGAATGTACAAGCAAGCAGATATACTAACAGGAAGCTTCAATGAACTACCACTCATTGAAAACTACAAGCTGGCAGCCACTAAGGCTGCCTGGGACTTGACGTTCATTCATTTACGGAAGTCTGTGAATGAATGACGCGGCCGTGTGGACGGAGGAACGCACGGCCCCACTGGTTTCAAATTTGACAGATAGTATGGGGAGACTTCTCCCTGTATTATCTGTCGGGGGGGGGGGGGGGGGGGGCGGGTGTGGCTATGGGAAAATGGGTGGAATCTTTAAAAAAAATATAAAGGTAAGTATAATTTTAAAATAAAGGTAGGTATAATTAAAAAATTTATAAAAATAAGAATAGATAGGGAGTAGCTGGGTTCAACTTTGACATGGAAGACAGGGCCAGGGGCGGACTGACCATTTGGAAACTCGAGCACTGCCCAAGGGCCTGGGGTCAGTAGGGGGCCCCATGAGATGCCCCTGGTACCTTTTTCATAG